TTGACCAGAAGATATGAATGATGAACCTAGGGCCACTGAAACCAGCACGCCTACAGGCAAATACTTACTGTTATGTACATTGGCCAAACAGAGTGGACTAGCTGTTGAATGGTGGGATGTTATGGAGGTGATCTTTGGGCTTCCAGGTAAACGGACTGCAATGTGGTGATTAGCTTTCCTCAGCAGTATCATGTAACACTTAGTGTACTTACATAATTAATTAAAAACAACAAAAAACCCAAACGCATCCAATCAGGGCTAAAGGAGACTCCAACCTAGAAAGGGAATTAGAGCAACAAGCAACAGTACTGAGTGTCCACAAAGTGGATTTCACTTCAACATCCATGAACAGGAAGTCAGTTTTAACAAATTAAAACCACACACACACACACACACACACACACACACACACACACACACACACACACACACACACACACACACACACACACACACACACACACACACACACACACACACACACACACACACACACACTCTCTCTCTCTCTCTCTTTAAATGCACAATTGAACTCACTCTTTAAACAACCTTTCACTCATTCATTTTCAAACTGTCACATGCATATATGTGACATATGTGAGGGGCGTGGTCTGCCAGAAGAAATGGACATGTCTGTCACAAGGGGGTGGGGAATATCACAAGACGGGTGTGGCCTGCCAGATGAGAGGCAGTATGGCCTGTCAGCCTAGAGGAGGCGAAGTCTATCATGCAAGGGGTGTGGCCCTTTAAGGGGATAATGGGCGTTGTCTATCAGGTGAGAGGTGGGCATGGTCTGTCAGGTGAGAGGTGGGTGTGGTCTAGCAGGTGAGAGGTGGGTATGGTCTGTCAAGTGATAGGTGGGCACAGTCTAGCAGGTGAGAGATGGGCGTGGTCTGTCAGGTGAGAGGTGGACGGGGTCTGTCAGGTGGGCGGTGGGTGTGGTCTGTCAGGTGGGCGGTGGGTGTGGTCTGTCAGGTGGGCGGTGGGTGTGGTCTGTCAGGTGGGCGGCGGGTGTGGTCTAGCAGATGAGAGGTGGCCATGGTCCATCAGATGGTCTGGTATCCAGCGTTGCTCCTCTTCCTGCCGATTAGGTAGGCTATGAGGACCACCAGCACCAGACCGGACAGAGCGGCTCCCACCACAATGGGGATCAGCATCTGGTCCTGGTCCACCTGGCACTCCTCGGCTGGAACCCCAGAGACGAACACAAACACCATGAAGCTCCGCCCAACATCAAGGGCCCGTTTCAAGTAGCAGCTTAGGATATCACTAAACATTATCCAGGGCCCTGTTTCAGGTAGCAGGTTAGGATATCTTTAAACATTATCCAGGGCCCTGTTTCAAGTAGCAGGTTAGGATATATTTAAACAATAACCAGGGAATGAAAAATGTATCCACAGCTTAGTAGCCAGCGGCCTCTAGCGACCCTATATGCAGTGAAGGAGCGAGGTCAGGCCTACCTGTAGCGAACTGATCGCTGGTCACCGCAAACGGCTGCACCTGCAGTCTGAAGGTGTTGACGGAGAACGCCTCGGCTATAAACAGCGTCTGCTCTGAGTTACACGAGTAGGACCGGCCCCAGGAGCTGGCCAGGTAGCTCAGGCTGCTGTTGCTCACCGACACTGGGGGATCTAGGGGGAACCAGAGAACCACACTGTCACAGTACATATGTAGTATAACGTTGGAAGGTGTTTAGACATCATAGTCTGTTGAAAAGTTGGACTTACCTCTCATGTCGGGCCAGTCGGCCACCAGCATGAGGCCACTGAGGTGGTACTTGTTGGATGTGGTGTTCTATAAAAAGTTGATTGAAATAATCTTGAAAATGCACACATACACACACACACACACACACACGATAAAGGAGACGGTGGTGTTTTTACCAGAGTGAAGGTGAAGGAGAGGTTGGTGTTTCCCTCGTGGGTCAGGACCAGGGTGGAGATGCTTTCTCCACATGAGCCCGTCGACACCGTCAGGTTGGGGTGGATGTTCACTACCTTCTGGACCGTCTGGCAGAAGGACAGAAGAACCAGAGTCATCACACACTAACTGTACATCAGGTAAAGACTACAGGTGAGTACATCAGGTAAATACTACAGGTGAGTACATCAGGTAAAGACTACAGGTGAGTACATCAGGTAAAGACTACAGGTGATTACATCAGGTAAAGACTACAGGTGATTACATCAGGTAAAGACTACAGGTGATTACATCAGGTAAAGACTACAGGTGAGTACATCAGGTAAAGACTACATGTAAGTACATCAGGTAAATATTACGTGGTAGCTAAGTGCTAGGTAAGAACCCCAGGTAAATGCTACAGGTAAGTACTAAATACATTGCAGTATAATCTACTAGACTCACTTTGTTCTGGGACAGAGAGTTGAAGGAGATGTTAAGCTGCAGTCCCATCAAGGCCATTAGGCACGTGTCGTTGCCTATGGTTACGGAGTAGTTCCCTTGTTCGGGGGGGCCTGGTGGGGTGGGTGATGGCGCTGGTGTCGTCGGTCGTCGTCGGGCTGGCGGGCGCAGGCGTTGCCGTGGTAACCCCCTGGTCGGCCATACAGACACTCTCTGGCAGACGGGACGAAATTGGTTAGGGTTTCATTAAGCTAGTCTGCCCTGGTACGCCACACCTCACAAGGCTAACTGAGGTGTTCACCTATTAAAACACACACACACACACACACACACACACACACACACACACACACACACACACACACACACACACACACACACACACACACACACACACACACACACACACACACACACACACACACACACACACACACACGGTCCTGTCTAGCTCAACTGGTAGAGCATGGCATTAATACTGCCAGGGTTAGGGGTTTGATTCCCTTTCTAGCTCAAATGGTAGAGCATTAACTGCGCAAGAGTTAGGGGGTTTGATTCCCACTGGGGCCACCCATGCTAGGATTATTGTACGGTATTGTAAGATGCTTTGGATAACAGCATCGACCAAATGGCAACTATATTATAAACGCATGAACCGATTCAGAAATAAGAGTCGTCTAGCAAACAGGTGCCTGCTCTGGAATATAACGCTGGGATGAATTAAATATAGTAACACATGAATAAATGAACACATGAATTCATGAATACATGCAGCAGAACAGGAATAAATGAACACATGAAGAAATGAAAACCGGTATATTATATTAAGACATGAAATCATTAATAAATGAACACATGAAAATGATAACGCATGAATAAATGAACACATGAGCAGTGTTACCGGAGGGGCTTAGGTCTTCCTGGGTCATGTATGCCTCCATCCTGACCCCAGAGAAGGTCACCGTAGCTCCTCCCACTGGGATGGAGGCGGGGCTTACACAGCGGTAGGTGGTGTTGAGCCGCGCCCACATCCCCACAGAGTTCGTCATCACCGTGACAACATCTAAAAGGACCAACAACAAGACAACAGCTTACTTTGCATGTTAAACACTAAAAATACACCGATACAATGTCTGAACTAATACATGGTGGTGATCCTGTTATATTATATTAACACATTGTTTTATTACACGGCTTTGTTGAAAACTCAACTCTGATCGGTCAATGACAGCATTCTACGGTCTGTTATTTATGAACAGCAGACCTCTGCTATGCATAACAGACCATTGCTATGCATTGCTCCAATCTAACAGCCTTTGTTTTTAGCAGAAGCAATAAAATCTTTTAAAATACTAAAAAAATACTAAAATACTAAAATTCTTTAGTAAGAAGACGTGAAATTCACGTCAGGGTCCTGCATCACCCTGTTGGGTTTATTTCACGTTAATGACTGGCTCGATGTACACTATCCCATACATAACTTAACACTATTATGATATATTATTTTAAATGGTCTAATTATTATTATTAGATATTGTTAGATATAATGTTAATAATATAAGTGTAAGTGTTTCTGACCGGAGCTGTTGGCAAAGGGGAACAGGGTGCTGTCACTCAGGTTGTACTGTAGGCTCAGCGTGTCCACGCTGTACACACTCCCATTGGTGGAGAAGAAGAGACCGAGGGTGTGGCCTGGTCCGAACACACCCACCAGCGACACAGGACGCCCATCGCTGCCACACGAACTGCTGCCCACATCCACCGTAGTGGAGTCTGGGAGATTGACCTGTACTGTAGTCTGAGAGAGCGAGAGCGAGAGAAAGAATATGAGAGGAGGAGAGAAGCAAGCGAGAGAGATATGAAGATATAGATAAAGAGAGAGGGAGAGAGGCTTTATGAACAACTTCATTGTTCCAAAGAAAAACCAGATGATCAAGTATGTATCATGTTAACAGTATAAAGTATTATCTGAGGGTGAATGAATGACACCTGTTAACTGTATAAAGTACATATGAGGCTGAATGAGTGATGTTAACAGTATAAAGTATATATTTATTGTTAACAATATAAAGTATATAGTTGTTGTTAACAGTATAAAGTATATACTTGTTGTTTAACAGTATAAAGTATATACTTGTTTAACAGTATAAAGTAGGTTTTCCTCACCGAGGTGTTGGATGTGTTGTAGCTGATGGAGAAGGAGGCGGAGAGATCAGCCTTGATGCAGGTGGAGTTTCCCTCTCTCACCTCCAACGTCACGGCCCGGGCAACACCTAAACACAAGCTTATTGATATTAAAACAAAACAACAAAAACACCTCACTTCATCCTTCAAAAAAACTACAACACAACATAAAACATGTTTTATGTTGTGTATATTGTTGTTGAGGATTATTGCATTGTACTTCTGTGAGTTAATTGAACCATATGTTAAGGTGTGTTCACGAAAAAAAAAATATATATACAAATAATTTCAAAAATAAGATTGCGTTGTTTTGAGCTAGTGCTGCCATCTAGTGTTTAGACAACGTTATAACTAGAATGACGTGTTTGGTTTACACCAAACAATCATTATATAATATTATATCTCATCTTCTTGTTTGTATCTTTCAACATGGCTGAGCTCGGCATTAGCATGACCTGTACATGGCTGTGACCAGGAAAGTGCAGTGCTTTCGACTCCCAGTAAGGTTCTGGGTTCGATCCCCAGTGTCCACACAGACCACCTTGTCATCCTAGAGAAAGACGCCCTAACCCTACCTGCTTAACGACATGGATCTGCATGATTAAGTGACTCTGGATGAGACATGAGAGTCGCCTATCTGATAATAAATGAATGTCCTGGGGTTCCTGTGGGCATTGACATGAAGCAGAGTGGACTGTGTCCCCGCACCGTGCTGTCCTACTGTCCTACTGTCCTTTGCTAAATGTAAATGTGGGCCCACTAGGAGGCCCTCCCCGAGCCAAGACTGAAACCTGACGCACTTGGTCATCCTGGTAACACACACCACAGTGTCAGTGAGCCACCACAAGCTCAGGAACATAAAACCTCACAACACCAGTCCCAGTACAGAGACCAAGTCCCAGTGCACAGACCAAGTCCCAGTACACAGAACAAGTCCCAGTACACAGACCAAGTCCCAGTACACAGACCAAGTCCCAGTACACAGACCAAGTCCCAGTGCACAGACCAAGTCCCAGTACACAGACCAAGTCCCAGTACACAGAACAAGTCCCAGTACACAGAACAAGTCCCAGTGCACAGACCAAGTCCAACACAGTAGGCCTACCACACAGGGAGACCGTAGAGAGAGGGGGGGGGTGTTGAACCCCTAACCTCTCATCCAGTCTCATAGGAGTACAAAAGCTGTCACGTGATGGGGGCGCTTACGTTGCACTTTGAACAGCGAACACCGGAGCGCTCTGCGCATGCGCCGTATGCGGATGACTACCGGGGGGGGGGGGGGAAATAATACCCCTGCTCCCCATGATGGACCACCACACTATAAATACGAGCCCCGTTACAGACAGAAAACCCGATGGATACCGACCCACGTCCCGACGACGTCATCTGAGCGCAACAACTGACAGAGGAGAGGGGAGAGGGAGGGAGGGCATTCCCGCACCTCTCGCCGTACAATGAATTATCGATCAACCACGACGAGGGTTATTATTATTATAATATGACGTGGCTCGTGTGTGCACAACAACAACAACGACAACAACACACAATGGCGTAGATTATGTGACGTCGCTTTCGGGACGTGAACACTCACCTAGGATCACCGAACAGGCGACGAGGCGGGACAACAAGTTGGACCCGTTCATGTTGTTTTCCCTCAGTGCGGAGATGTGACGTCAAAAAATAAAACCGTCAAAAAAAGAAAAGAAAAAAAGAAAAAGCAACGCGGTAAATAATATCGCAGCGGTGTAAATATCGCGGCGGTGTATCGATATCGTAGCAGAAGTGCGCAATGCACGCACAACGCGTCCAGGTCCCAAGTCCACAAGCGCACTGAACACAACGCCTTAAAGCCTCAACAAATATATAAATTAAAAACTATTCAAATGGAGACGACTCCCCTGGTTTCTCCGTATGTGTGTGTGTGTTCATTTATGGTCTAACTCCGTCCGTTAGGCGGCATGCTGCGCAGCGCGGCGGCGGACGTCGGGACGCGTTCAGGTCGCGGTGCGGAATGCGGAGTCACGTGAACCGCCGGCGCTAAGTCAGCGAGGCGGTCACATGACGTCAGCGGGGCGGTCACGTGACGTACACGCCCGCCCGCCCGCCCACAGCCGCACGGTTTAGGGGGCTGCCTATCTATGCGGATATTGGTCGTTAGTTTTCGTAAAGGATATACGCCCCCCCATAGCGGCCATGCATGGCAGTCGTTGATCACGATCGGGATTAAACCGCCAGCGCTCACATGTTGTGAACTTATATATTGTGAACGTGTGTATTATTACGGTTCGTCTGGTGTCTTGTAAATGGTGCAGGGCATTCAAAATGAATACTTCAATCACAGTCAATCAAAACCGAAACCCAGACGACCAAAACCACACATATTACAGGACCGCTGCCACCGGGTCGTCGGTATAACCCGCCAATGAAAGCCCACCAATAATTTACCTGTTAAAAAATTATAAAAAAACTGTGGCACTGCACCTGACCCACATCACACCCGGACTAACCCAGATTGTATTTGTAATTTTTTGTTTTAAATTGTTATATGTTGCTGTTGTTAGCAATTGGTTTAATGTTTTTTTTTTCGGTGTGAGCCATGGTGTCTAAAGCGAGTCTAGAGCTGCTGACGCCTGGTAAAACAAAAAAAAATAGAAGTCTCATAAAGTGCGTACTTCAACAAACAAAATACAAATTAAAAAAATGGTGGCTCAGGATGAGTCGTTGAATCGTGACCCGCGAGCTCCTGACGTCACGAGGCCCCACCACGCGCACCGGCCTCAGGTCAGCTGACCTCCTCCCGCTTCACGAGGCGGTGAGGATGGAGACGCACGCGGCCCTCCGAGAACTGGCGTCTTCTCGAGACATTCTCCTTTCAGATTTGTGTGTGTGTGTGTGTGTGTGTGTATATATATATATATATATATATATATATATATATATGATATATATATACGTTGAAGGTTTTAAAACCTTCCTTCGTGGTGGCAAAATGGTGATTCATATTTCCTATGGTTTTGGAGGAAACTAATTCTAGTTCCTGTGGTGTTGAAGTTTCCCCATGTATTTTTCAGATTATTATTGTTTATTTTTTACAGTAGGCTGAAGTAAAATGTCTACACAATTTGCTTGTGCTGGGGTGACCCACATTTCCCATCTGGGATGGATAAAGATTAGGTTATCCCGTACCTTATCAACATCTTTTAACAAGAGGAACAGTGTTGTGGTTGCTTCTCTGTATGAAGCTGCTGCTGCTGCTTTTGCCGGACGCTGACAATGAATGAAGGAGTCTATCCAACAGAATAGTTGCCTTCATATCCAAGACCAGCGGGCTTTCTCATGGCCAATGGCCACAGAAAAGAGCAAAAAAAAGCGTGCTTTTGTGATGACAAATGCTTTTTGTGTCATCTTGCGCATTTTCACAGTGGTCTCTTAGCCCAGGGTCTTGTTCCTCAACGGAGGAACAAGGTGCATCTTTGTCGCACAGCGGAGTTGGTCGTCTCCAATAGACATGTGTATTGAAGTAATGACTTTATATTGAGGGAAGGAAATTCAATTACCGCTTGAAGAAGTTGGATGTAGTAGCGCAGGAATCCTAGAATCGTAGTTTAGGTTAACCATAAATTATCTGCTAACTACTACAAACTACTGAAGGGTCACAGATCATCACCATTCATTAAATAACCATTTATTCAGGTTAACTTTTCCCACTCTTACAAAGAATACAATCTGATCTACAAAAACTCTTGTCGTCAACCTACTGGACATTTTGCTGGAAACGTGTAGAATGGCATTTCTCTCCGTGCTGTTTGTTGTCTTGCCTGGTGCCTCCCATTAGGACCCCCCCCTCTGTCTCCGTCTCCCCCCAACCTCTCCACCCTCATCACCATCCCCATCTCCCAGCCTCTCCCACCTCCACCCCCCACAGCTTTAACAGTGGTCTCAACACCCCAGGGCTCCAAGCATGGCGCTTTTCCGAAGACAGGAAGTAAACTGACTGACCCCCCCCCCCCCAAAAAAAAACATAACACGTCTGCCACAACATACACCAGAATGCATCTCCTGAATCTCTCCTTCTCCGTGACTGTAGCAAGACCAGGAAGCCATAACTTCACCCAGAAGGGAAAAAAAACAAAACGGAAACATCACGCCAAAGTGCTCGTTTATCTTCAGTTTAAAAGTGAGTCAATGATCCGGCCAATAAGGGACAGAGCTTCGAGCCGGCTTCAGCCAATCCCGTCCAGAGTTTATGTGTCTGTGTTTAATCCATGCCTGGCAGTACCAGAGGAGAGCTGGGGATCGTCCAATCACGACGAGCCAAAAAAGGTCTGTCAGTAATACAAGCCCTGCCCGCCCCCCCCACCCCCCCACCAACACCACCAATCAGGCGACGTAGTGGTACTGGGTGGGCGTGTCCTTGTCACGCTCCATATAGTCTCTGTCTATCAGGGACTCAATCCTCTTCTTCAGGTCCCCCGGCTGTGGAAAGACAGGTGAGATTAATATTAGATTGTTAGATTAATATAACATTAATATTAGAATCATGTTGGGTTAAAGAGAAACCCCACAGTCATGATGGCAACTCTGCCACCATCTAGAGGTAAAAACTAAAAAGTAATCCAATCATTTCTGTAATTTTAATTTAATTCTATTTTAGTTTCGCATAATAGGACCACATGTCTTGAATATTTTGTGTCGTCTTATTTTATTGTTATTTTTATCATTACTGCAGACTGGTCTTGTCACCATGATGTCAGACTTCAAAACTGTGATGTCTGCTAGAACTGAGTTCAGTGGTCAGCCCTGCAGTAAGGTATAGACACAGAGAGAGCGGCCTGTGATTGGTCACCTTGACAGGGAACTTGAGCTGGTTGTAGAGCTCCGACACTAACAGGTTGTGACTCAGAGTCTTCCTCATCTTCATGATGCGCACCACAGCCGCGTCGATCTGGTACTGCCGGTCCTGGAAGACTCGCTCTGTCGTACTCACCTGCTCCTCCACCTGGGGGGGGGGGGGGGGGGTGTCACACACACAGAGATTACATTTACAGTTAGCAGATGCTAATGTATGATGACTGCAAGAGCAGTCAGTTCCTCTATTGTCCCCGCTGGCATATAAACCTCATGATTAGTTCCTTCTAATTAAGGAATGGATCCATATAATAGCAAACAAGACTTTGGTTTATAGGCATGGATACAGACATACTGATTCTGGTGACATCATAGGAAGTGGAGATAACTTCTACCTCTTCCTGAGGTAGAAGTAGAAAGAGGAGGTTGCGATAGAGGAGGTAGAAGAGGAGGTGGAGAGAAGGAGATTGCAATAGAGGTGTAGAGGAGATAGAAGTAGAAGGAAGAAGTTGCAATAGAGGAGATGGGGGGGTAGGTGGCAGTAGAAGGAAGAGGTTGTGGTAGAGGAGGCAGAGAGGAGAAGGAGGAGGTGGGCGGTGGCCGACAGGACAGCTCCAGAGCCCCCGTACCGTCTCCTTCATCTGGATCTGGTTGATCTTGATGCGGAACAGCTTGTGTTTGAAGT